CCTGCCCCCACACCAGCCTCTCCCAACCCCTCCATGTCCCCCGACGTGCACCGCTGAGCCGGGCTGGGCCCCCTCCCATCCGCCCCCTCAACCTAGGGCTGCCTGGTCCCGTCCGGATCCGCTGCCGGAACCAAGCGTGCGCCATCCACCCCCCGGCCCGGGGCTGCACCCGCTCTCCCGGCCCCGCACAGCACCTGGGCGCCGCGGAGGCTGCGGCGGCTCCCGGGCTGGGCGCGGGGACGCGGGCCCGGTGCCAGCACGGTGACCCGAGGACATCGAAGCATACGGAGCTTTACAGAACAAAGCTACTGAATCAGCCACACGATGGCCAGACATGAACGGGGTCCCGCGGGCGTCACCCGCTGTCCGAGGAGGCGGAGGGGCCGCCCGAGGGCGAGCGGCGGCGGCGGCGCGCGGGCGGGCGGCGCGCGGGGGGCTGCCCCAGCGCCTGGCCCACGAGCGCGGGCAGCGCCCGCAGGCTCAGCCCCAGCGCCTCGATCTTGCTCTCCAGCGCCCGCAGCCGCTTCTCCAGGTCCTCGTTGCGCTCCTGCAGCTCCGACACCAGCTCGTACATGATGCTCTGGGTCTGCGGGAGCGGGAGCTTGCAGGGCGCGCCGGGAGCGCGTGGGGCTCGTGCCCAGGGGAAGAGCCGCCCCGCGGGCACAGCTCACCTTGGCCAGGTCCACCAGCGTGTTCGCCTGGTCGTGCAGTTTCCGCTGCTCCATCTTCACGCTCCGCAGCCTGCAGAGGGAAATGCCCCGGGGGAGCAGGATGAGCACGGGCCGGCCCGGCACCCCCGCGGCGAGCATGCACGCGCGGCCAGCACGCGGGGGGGGACTTACTTCTGGGCTCTGCAGGGACGGGGCGGAACAGAGACAAAACACAACAGCAGGTTTAATAAGAGCGCGGAGAGCACACGGAGCCGCCCCCCGCCGCCCCCCACCGCCCCGGCGCCTCTCGGCTTTTCCCCCACACTGGAGGCACCCAGGGCTGCACTGGAGCGGGTGCTGCCGCAGGGACCTGGAGCAGGGAACGTGGTGCCACCAGCAGAGCTGGCACTGACTCTATGAGAGAAAAAATCCCCTTCTCCCAAATTTGGATTTTTGTGGTTTTTTGTGGTTATTCAAATACAAAAAAAATGCTAAAGCAGGAGGGGGCTGGTGGCACTCGCTCGGCTTAGGCTTGCTCCAAGTCCCGGGGGTTTGGAGAGCTCGGGAGCGAGCAGCGCGCTGGGGGCACTGGGGCAAAGGGCTGAGCCTCGAAGCGGGCGGGAGGCTCGAGGCCAGGGCGAGGGGCGGCAGGGGGGCACACGGGGCTGTCCCCGCGCCAGGGCGGGCGGGCGGGCGCCGCGTACGAAGCAGGTAAAGGTTTGGCACTTACTGATGGATGGCTTGGAGGAACTTACGCTGGTGTTTCCGAACTTTGGCATGGTCGATCTTCTTCACCAGCTTGGTGTGTTTGTAGATGAGCCACGTTTCCCTGAGTACGTTGGCGGCCGCGTTTTTCACCTGCAGGGACAGACACGGCCACGCGGGGGGCTGCAGGCGGCGGCGGGCGGGGGTCCCACGCGCGGCCCCGCGCTGGGGGGACTCTCACCCGCTTGGTGAGCTGCGTGTCCATCATGAAGTTGTGCACGTGCTTCTCGGCTTTGGTGAGCTCCAGCTTGCGGGCGACGACGGCGACAACAAGGGCCGTGCAGCCAGCACCCTGCACGCGGGGCGAGAACCACCCGGGAGGTTTGCCCCTGTGCGGGGGCGGGAATGGGGACCCCCCCTCTTCACGCCGCGGCCGTGCTCACCATGATGCCGGTGAGGAGGCAGACGCCCTTGCCGCAGTACGTGTGCGGCACCATGTCACCGTAGCCGATGGAGAGGAAGGTGATGGAGATGAGCCACATGGCCCCCAGGAAGTTGCTGGTCACCTCCTGCTTGTCGTGGTACCTGCCAGAGACGGGGGGCAGCACCGTCAGCCCCGGCCTCCTCCGGCTTTGCAAGGCAAGGGCAACGCGGAGCTCTTGGACTCGCCCCGGGCACCGGCTTCCTGGGACACTGGGGTCTGCAGGAGCTGGTGGAGCTTGAGCCGAGCCCTCGTTGGGGACGGAGCCTCCCGGCCCGGGGGTGCCACAGCAAACCTCAGCCCTCCTGAAGCTTTTCCCAAGGATCTCCAAGCATTTCCCAAGGATCTCAAAGCACAGGGCATGATTCCTGGCCCCAGGAGACCCCCGGTCCCCGAGGCCGCGCTCTGTCCCGCAGCACGCGGCGCGGCGCCGGCTCGCTGTGCTTTGAGATGTCGTGGCCAGCGCCACGAACGCGGCGGCTTCGCTCCCTGCTCCCGGGGCCGGGCGGCCGGAGTCGCTGAGCGCGCGCTGGGATGGGGGCCATGCAGGGAACAGGATGGGGGGTGGAAAAGAGAGTGAGGGAGGAAAGCAAAGGGAAAGGCACCAAGGGGAACAAGCTGGGTCGGACCAAGCGTGAGATGAGGAATTTAGGATTGCTGCATCCCTCCGCCCGGCCCTGCAGATCCTGGCCCTCCCATCCTCCCGCCCACCGCAATCTTGGAACCTCAGCCGACCCTGGGGGCACTGGGGGCGGGGGGCACCAGCCCCACCATCCCCTGCATCCTCCTCAGCCTTCCTCACCCCTGCCCTCCCCTCCTCATCCCAGTTCTCCCAGGACTTCCCAGGCACTCGGACTGCGTCACCGGAGAGGGAAAACCTGGAGCAAGGGAAATTCCTGGCATGAAAGCTCTTTCGAGCCAAACATCTCCTTCCTGGCCACCTCGGACCACCCCTGCTCTGCTGGGGTTTGTGGCTTCAGTGGTGAAGCTGGGGCAATAGCGGGGGCACTAAAAGCCCCCGCCTCAGGCACAGGGACCCTGGTGACTGTAGTGGCTGCTGCAGCGTGGGGCAGAGCGTGGGGAAGGATCCGTGCCCCAACACACGCTGCCACGGGTCCCCTGCGCCTGCGTCACCACGGCGGCACAGCCTGCAGCCGGGCCGGCCTGCGCCTCCGCCCCACGGCGATGGGGTCCCCACGGCGCCAAACCAGGCTGAGGTTCCAAGGGGAATGTGCTGCGGCCCCTTCCAGGATCCCCGCACACCCCCCGGCCCTCCCGGCCAGCTGCAGCTAATCCTAAATTCCCGGGAGCACAAGCCTGGGGTAGGAGGGACGTCCCGTGCAGGACGCGGCTCTCGGTTCCTGCGGTGACTCACAGTTTGTCCCTGCGAGCAGCAGAGCGGTCAGAGAGGGAAAACAAGAGCAGTTAATGAGCAGCCCGGGGCGAGGGCAGCGGCGAGAGGGACGAGCGCAGCGAGGGGAGCCCACACCCGTCCCCTCTGCACTGTGGCTCGTCCCCAAGGCCCCCCAGTGCCCCTCAGCGCTCGTGCCTCCAGCTGGGTGGCACCTCTGCAAAACCCCGCGGTGGCCACAGCCCCAGGGCAGGTTCCGCTGGTCCAGGACAAGGTGCCAGGGCCAGGGGCCGCTTGGCGCCTCCAAGAAGCCTCTCCCCGCGGGGCTCTGCCCGGTGCATCGTCGCGTGCAGCCCCCCCACGAGCCCCCGGGCGGGCACCTCTCGCACACGCGGACCGTCCAGGCGGCGATGATCCAGGAGGAGATGCTGAAGACGAGCAGCACGGTGCCGGGGCAGATGGTCATGAGCGTCTTCATGACGAAGCGCGTGTTGAAGTTGATCTTGTTGAGGGCGCCGATGCTGCGCGACGAGGCGTCCGTGAAGAGCTTGCTGTGCAGCAGCATCACGCG